CGAACTTTCATATATTGTTCAAATTTGACTTTTTAAAACTTTTAATGTTTGAACTCGATTTGTTTATGACAAGTAAACGAATATTTAAGCAAGCTAATACACAACGTCAAAATTCAAACGAGCATCAAGATTTTTTTTAAATAAAAAAAATCAATAAATAATTTTATAAATCTGAGCGCACATACTAATTTATCGATTATAAGATCTATAAAAATGAAATATAACTCATGAACCATGATCATATAGGATGTTATCTCACTTATTTTAGCATGATCATACTTCTAAGTTTGCATCCAACTCTCACATTTTGATGTAGGTATTGATTTTCCCATAATGATATGCACTTGTCCTTTTCTTAGATTTTTTGGACAATTTTGTAGAAACTTTTTATATTGAATCGTTATACCATCATTTTTCTTAATCATATATGTATAATGGTTGCATTGTATTTTCTCGGCGCAACCTTTTAATTGGGAATAACTTATGAGCACGGTGAAAAGGGGTGATGTACAAGAGAATAGAGTTTCATAGATCCCTGCACTTTGCAATCTCATTGTTGACTTCAATGCTTGCACACACTAGCAACTCAGGGTTTTATATATTTCAAGCAAAATCAGGAGACGCGAAACCGTGAAAAGTAAGAGGGAAAGTGAGATTGCTTAAAATTAATTTTGAGGAGCATTTTATACATACCATGAAAGTATTATGTATGTTCCTATCTAACACCTAAATTTTAATAAAATAAATATATAATTAATAATTTATATTAATAAAATAAATATATAACTCTTATATTAATCTAAAATATTGTTATTATAATAATATATTATTATTAAATCTATAATGAATAAATTCTTGTTAATTAAAATTTTTTTGATTAATATATCATATATGATATGAGTCACCATCGAGTATCATATCGAGTATTTGACAAGTCACGTATTGAAAAACAAACGTGTTTGTTTGTGAACATTAATGAAAAAATTTGACTATGTTTATGTTTTGTTCATTTAAGCTTTAAGCTTTTAAAATCATTCAAGCTTGTTTATTTTCTAATTTGACTGAACATGATTGTTCTTAATCGAGCTGAATTCGAATTGTTCATTGAGCCCTAGTGGCTGCACAGTTTTTTCGAGATGACAATAAGGTGGCTGTGAACTGGATGAAGGGGAAGCGATGTAGCAAGGAGCATGGAAGGGTAAAAGAGGATAAATACTCTCTAGAATGAGCTACAGAGCACCACATGACCTTTGGAAGAAGTTCGCCACCTTGCACGGGCAACATCTGAACCACCACTCGCCTTTGGATACAGCCCCAGAAGGGAGAAATAGGGACACCGACAAGTGTCTTGCACAAAAGTATGATAAAATTGAAATCCTAAGACATGAAAAATAAATATATAGTAATAGAACAATTAGGAGTGACCCAAGAGGACTGGCCGACACCTCAGCTTCGAAAAAACCTGGACTGGTTCGATCCTGGTACAAAAACAAGAGCTGCTCCAGTTGCGGGGATTCCCGCATCAGACATCGCTCGCGGGACCCCCACGTCCTTGCCGTGTCAGCGCTTCGATCGTGGTATTTACACGTCTCGCTCCGTATCAGTGAAACCGCGCTCAAGTAGAAGCCCTTACTTATTGAACTCCAATCCTGGACTTTCTTTGATTTTCTCCAAACAAACACACCCTTGGTATATATATTATAATAAATAATTATAAAATAACTTGATAGATTTGTTATAGAAAAGCATTTATCAAATTCGATAGCATGCTTGAAGTGCCTTTTATGTGTTAATGTTCATTGACGACATATTTGGAGCTATTTTAGTTTGTGCTTCACCGGATAGAATAAATCAAACGCATGCTAGGCGGCTTGAGTATTATGCTCAGTAATATAACTAGCACAAAAGTGGATGCTTGTATGAACAACAGTAGCATGCCAACTTCACTATTAAAATGCTTTGCTTTATCATCTTTCTGCTCTAAAAAAATTGCATATGCGTCAATTGTATCATAGCTAAAATCTATCTATCATGTAGCTAACAAGCTGGCCAGAGTTTAACCAGCAATTCAACAACCCTAAACCTATTTTCCATTTCCAAGCCTGTGCACGTGTTAATTCTTTTGATATAAGTTGGACTTGATATCAAAGTAGGGTTTTTTCCACTCATACTTTGACATCTAGTATCAATGTCTATTCAGGGAAGAATAGATTCTTACTTATAAGTTTTTGTTTGAGGCTTATAATTCATATTAATGATCATTCAAAGAGGAATGGATTCCTCGTTTAAAGTTTTTTTTTTTTTTTTGGCTCAAAATTATTATTTTTTTATATCCTCACAATAACTTTATTGTGGATACTTTGATATTTAATCAAATATGGAAGAAAAAGAAAGGGATGGGCCAATAAAAAGAATAATTGAAGTGGAAAATTAAAAAAAATTCATATCATATGGCACTTTGTTTTGCCGAAAAAAAAAATGAAAGATGAAGAGCCCAAAATAAAAATATTCTCTTGGTATCTTGTTTGCCGTTAAATTTTGCCTTACGCAATTGGCTGATAAAATCTGTTAATTTACTTTTATCAAACGTATGTCTTGTCCATATTTGTATTGAATCATAGTGTTTGGCAATCTGCATTTCAATTGAAGTGTTTAGAAAATTTAAGGCTAATAATCTGCACATATATGTGCTATGGATTCATTTTTGTTAGAAAACCTTTTTTTTATCTTACAGGCGAACTTCTGGAGGTTCACTTACTGAAGAAGTTCAGAATTTCATTTTAGAGCTTTGTGTTAATTCTGTATGTATCAAAATTTCATTGTGTAGATTTCTTGTTAATCATTATATTAGCCAGTTCTATATATTCTATATTTCTTAAGGGCTCACCCTATTTCTTTATATTTAAAATTTGATTTTAATTTATGTTACTTGATTATTAAGAGAAGCTTGTTTATTCTGGCAAAACAATTGTTTATTTATAGTGGTAAATATCTTGTCTTATTTGCATGGTTTTATGTTTGAACTTATAATATCAACTTTTGCCGGGTAAAGCAGAACGATTATTTCATGTACATATATGCTATGTTCCAAAATTAATGATATTAGTTGATTACCCGCTTATAGTACAATTCTTAAAAGAAAATGTATTGGGTTTTTTTTTTCCTTGACATATGTAAACAAGAAACAAATTTTAGTCATTCTAGGAAGTTCAATATGAGATATCATACTCCATGAGAGAAACAATATACTCTAATACTGTGCTCCTCAGATCTATGGAGTTCCAATTTTTAATGTATCAATACAAGGAAATTTGGGACGCTTTGCTAGTGTCACTAAGAGATTACCAAATATTAATTCAATGCTTATCATTTTCTATAAAATAGTCATCATAGAGACAGCATTCTAAACTGTATCCTAAGAAAATCAAAGAGCAAGATATTCCTCAAAGCGTGCTTTGCTTTAATTCTATTGCATTGCTGTTGCTTATGAAATTGGTCTACTTTTAAGATAGATTTTTTCTCCTAATAGGATAGAAACCTATTGCAAATATTTTTTCAATTAAAACGCGTGCAGGGTTAGTTATAACTAAGCAGACACAATACTAGTTATAAATAAAGAGGGAACAAGGGCCAGGTACAGATTAAATTCCATTCATAGAGCTAGTAAACATTTAGCTTAAAGAATGTCTTTGACACCTCATTTTATCTCCCTCAGCGAGTCGAACAGAGGGAGAGGAAATGAATAGTCGGGAGCATGAAAGGTTACTTTCGTTTTATAAACCGAAGCGAGATAGTGGAGAGATTGAGAGAATTCGTAGCAAAAGCCGACCTTAATGATTTACCGAGAGAGTCCATTGACGCTCGACGCGGGCAATGAAGTCTGCAGGAGCCTCAACGTCGGCAACAGGCGAGGGCGACACTTTATCGGTGAGGATGACACTGTGGGAGGTCAATGCCGAGTGCGGGCACTGTGAGGAAGAAGCTGAAGGAGGAGGAAGGTTATTGTGGTTTTTCTTTCACTGCCGTGTGAAGCTTCATCTTTCGTCCGATTCCTAACAGAAGAGAGGAAGGAGCTCTCGTGCGTGAGGGTAGGAGTCAAATCTCAAGTGCAGAGGAGGAAGAATGGAGGTCTCGCGTGCAATGTTTCGATCGTGATTTATTGAGGGGTAGGTTTAATATTTAATTAGGTTATTTAATAGTTTATGCAATTATATATGCAGATATATATATATGCATATATATATATATGCATATATGTATATTCATTCAACTTCCTTCACTTGGAACAAATATAAAATGTTATTGCTATAATGCATGCTAAAAAAAGTATAGTTAATGCATCTATAATTACTGCCATGCTTGTGGTGTACCTGAAAATGTTAACAAAAGTGGTGTGCTTCACTGACTTAGTAGATGATCCTTGCCAAATACATTAAGCTTAGCTTGTTACATGATTGTTGACATTAGTTTGATTGGAGAAGTTGCCCGTAAGAAACTGTCGGTCACCGAAATCGAGATCTCGTCGCTCGCTTTGGAAGAACGTTTTAATTTACATATAGATTTAAGTTTAGAAAAATATGATATCAAACTGACCCCATATTTTTCATAGTTTAAATGAAAGAGTACGATACCTCAAATCCTGTATTTATCCCGAAAGATAAGCACAAGACTTGAGGATGAGGCTCGATCAAATAAACTAAGAAATATATGACGTCCGTTTGGTCAGCGAAACCGTTTTATTTGCCGACAATTTCCTCTATTTAATATGAATGCGCTTGAAATCAAGATTGAAGCTATAGAAGTTTCAAATTTGGATCGAGAGAAGGTTGGCGACAACAAGAAAAGTGAAGGTTTTATTTTCAAGTGAGTGTTTTATTTTCAAAAGTATTTTGTATAAAATAATAATAATTGATATTAATTGCAATGATTAAATTTAAAGTTTAAGTAATGAGGGTTTTATTTTCAAAAGTATTTTGTATAAATTAATAATAATTGATATTATTTTCAAATCTCAAGTGCAGAGGAGGAAGAATGGAGGTCCAATTAATGAAATAAAATAATAATTAATAATTAAATTAAAACCTAATTAAATATTGTGACAACAATTTGATAACATGAATATTTTATATTTTATAGGTGTTAATTTGAAAGAAGTGATAAAACTTAAGAGCAAGCAAATCGTCTGTGATCGAGATAAGTACTTGTATTATTGAATAAAGTAGCAATTCGGTTTATTCTAAATCCGATACAATGTGTTAGGTTATTTGATAGATTTTACTTGCTCTTTGAGTTCATTTAATTCATTTGAATTGCATGTTAGTTATTTTTGGATATGTTCAATCAATTACTGAATGTTATGAAAATAAAATAAGAATGAGATTTACTTTTTGGATTCCTTGCATGTGAATGTATGACCACGATGAAGTCACCTCTTTATGATACTAGTGGGCAACTCTAATGTACCCGTGCACGTCAGTGGAAAAAAATATTGATATTAAAATGTCTCAACTGATATAATTTTTAGACGTTGCTCCTGTGACAATTATACATATATAAATGCTATGTATATGTTATTGATACAGTAAAATACTTTAAATATTATGAAATATCGTGAGCAAACATATTCGTAAGTTAGAAAAAGTTATATTACTGATTTATTAATTTCTTAACAAACATGTATATTATATTCTTTTTCATTATGCTACTATTATTTAGGAATGTGACAATTCATTGGCTTTGATTAACTCACTGTTATTTTAAACTAATATTTCATATTTAATTAATCAATTTAAAAATGAGCGATATATAAAGAAGTGTTTATAAAAGATGTTGACAACTAGTAATAAGGTAACTTTAATTGTACTTTTTTTAATTTACTTTTTTCAGTGGCTCTTTTATTATTCAAATGTTAGTTATAGATAAAAATTTACTCACTCCGTCCTAATGTCTGTGTTCGTCTTGGTTCATTCCAAGACTTGTGCCGGGTTGCAACAAATGTGGTATCAGAGCAATATTTATGATTAATTAATGTAATTTTGATGAAAGAGCCAATCAGGTAATTATTTTTTTTTTAATGATAATAATAAAAAAAATTAATTTAACTCAAATTAATTAATTCTATCTATTCAGACAAAGGCATACACATCAAATTATAGAAGAAGAACTTCCAATAGAAACTGATGAAGTATAATCTACTATAAATGTCAATACGAATATCCTAGCCCAAATGATGGCGACAATGACTCAGCTGATTCAGGAGTGCAGATTGCAACCTATTGAAAGTAACACAGTTGCTGTGGATAAGTACTTAAAGATATTCTAAGATCTATGTCCGCCATTGCTTAAGAGAACTGAAGTTTCAATTGAAGCAAAGAATTGACTGATACAAATTGAGAAGATATTAGACAGTATGAATTGTCCGATGAAAGAAAAGTGTCATCAGCTACATTTGTGCTGACTTGAGAAGCTGAAAGTGGTGGCGCAACACTGTCAGGACAAACTGGGGGACATACCCAACATAATGGTAAGTTGGGAGGAGTAGTGAAGCTATTCAGAGTGTGGTTCTACTCTTATTCATTCGTAGATAAATGCAAAACAAATTTATCAAATTGATACGAGGAGAGAAGACAGTCATGCAACAAAATTTACCGCACTATCAATGTATACGCCACAATTGATCGCTATTATAGAAAACAAGTGTTTCAGATTTTTTCAGGATTAAATGATTTGATCCAATAGCCATTGGTGCCTTTGGCGATCGATGAATGCTCAATTTTAATGAAACAAACTAGAGAGTTGAGATTGATTATTAGTCTACTCAGAAGCTTAAGGAGACACGCAAGAGGAGAATTGATGAAGGATAACATGTGGATCACTCATAGGGGTTATTGAGAAGAAGTTTAAGGGTCTGTTTGGTGGTGTTGCAACTGTTTGAAAAAGTATTTGTGAAGCTATTGCAGAAGAAAAATTCATTCAAAAAGCTCTTGTAACAGTTACAAAAAATTATTATTGTTTTTTTTTTTTGAAACGGTCAAATCGAAGTTTTTTAGCAGCCACCGCAGGTAGCCAGACCTGATGACAAAACACAACTTTCAACTAGGGGTGTAAACGAACCGAACATGAACGAACAGAGCTAGTGTTTCTGTTTAGTTCGTTTGAAATTTAATTTGTTTGAAATAGACTCGTGTTCGAAATTGTTCATGAAGTTACTTTTCGTGTTTAGTTCGATTTGTTCGAAATTAGTTCGAATTGTTCAGGTTGTTCGAATTATTCGAAATGTTCCAATCATCCGAAGTGTTCGATTTGTTAAAATTGTTCGAAACGAAAGTATTATAATTGTAAAAATAAAATTTTAGATGTTAGAAATGTAAATACATAAAAATTGTGCGGTAAGTAGATAAATTTCCCCAAAAAAATAGCTAGCTTATGCAACTGAATTCAGCTAGATTGGTTTCTTCGCTAGTTTAGAATTTAATAAATTGCCAGATGAAATATGTAAAAAAAAAAGAAGGAAAAAGACAAAAATACATTCAAAAACTCATTGAAACTTAAATAATTTAAAGACAAATATAGTAATCCCCCGTGAATATAATAAAAATCATTGCCAAAACATAATCCTATATTAAAACATGTCTTTGATAGTAGTTGATAGCAAATACATTATCGAAAACATCAAACTTTCAGCAAGTCTGCCATGTGTCACGGACAAATAGTCCCACATTGGCTAGGTGTAGGGCCGAAAAGCAGTATTTAAGTCCTGGGCTGCCCACCACCCATAAGGGCTCTTTTGGGAGGTGACAAG